TTTCAAAAGGAATCGCAAGGTCTTGGAGACAGTAAGAATACACACTTAGCCAGAAAGGGAGAAAAACTATTTTGTAGTGTTAGTTTACAGAGTAAAGATCCCCAACTGAAGCAGGTCTCCAAAAGTCTAAAAGATGGCTGGAAACATAAACCAAACCTAGATTATGGCTTTTATCAAAGATGGGTAAAGCTTAAGACACAAACAGCAATCTCATAGGTATGATACAGCACTTCAGAGAACTCAAATGGGAAAAGCAGTGCTCTGTGCTACATCCTGTCTTTTTGATTTCTCGTCTTTTTACTTAGCAAATTTGAAAGTCATTAGTCCTGCGTGTGTGAAAGAGGTGAAAGAAACAGGTGGGATCAAATTTATTGTTTATTACAGATGAAGAAATAAATAATGTTTCTTCTTCACAAAGGTGATGAATAGCACTTAAAACACTTTCAGATGTGATAGGACTGTCTCTATTTGGATGTCGTATCTAAAATACAAACCATACATGCTACCATATGACATTAAAAAAATGGTAATACATCAGCATTTAAGACCAGTGGTAAAGAGTCTTTGATCACAAATGTAGCAACAGTCTTAACAGTATGCTATTATTAAATTACAAAGCAGTCTGCTACCATTCAAAGACATTTAAACTAACATTCTAGATTGATAACGCTCTGCATAAATCTTTACATAACATTTTCCATTTAACCAGGTAAATATGCAGAAAATTACCTCAATTTTCTCTTCAAGTCAGATGCTAGTACCACAATTTCCAGTAGCAAAGAGGAGTCAGTCAGTTACAGGTCAGCAACAAAGTGAAGCAGCTAAGCAGTATACAGGCTGGTGAAGTTGCTGTGCTCAAGTAATAAGAATAAAAATACTTTCTAACCTGCATGCAAGTACAGATGTTTGCTGCATAATCTCTTGAGCCTTCCCATATTGTTAATATTAGGTTTCCAGGGTATAATTTAGTCCTTCACAGAAACAGATTAAGCCTATCAGAGAAAACAGTGCTTTAACAGAATAAGCAAGCACTGTGCATATGAACCATGACATCAAATTGTTAAGAATGAAAATAGCATGATACCCATTTTCACACACAGACGGCAACATAAAATTATTCTGAAATACCTTATCACTTGCTGATGGAATTTTCTCTTCCCCTGCCTTTTATGATCCTGTTACTTTAAATTCCTATATATATAACTCAGGATTTTTAATCCCTGAAAATTTACAGTAGAAATTACAAATACATATACCTATATATGTATATATACTGAAAACCAAATCCAAATGAAAAGGGTTATATATTTCAAATGCAGACTAAGCCAACAGCTCTGGAAAAGCCACTGCATCTGCAAGGAGAGTTATAGACCCACACCTTTGGAAAAACATGTTCAAGCTAGCCATTACGGGTCAAATATACTTAGAACAGCAGAAAATATACGTCAGGAGTAGCAACCTTAACCATATGTAACTAGTTAGGCAATAACGTTACCCATTCCCTGCCCTCTTAAGTACTGTTTAAGTATTCAGTTGACTGTCAAGTACTAAAAAAATTCAATCTGAATCTATCAAGTACAAATACATGCACATTTATAGAAATAATCACATGAAGGCAGAGAACAAACCTGCTGTTCATTCCAGATGCATACTTGCATGTTTGTTATGAATTGAAAAACAATGGCAAACCAACCAAAAAACCCCAAACAAACAAAAGAACAACAAAAACTAAACCAAAAAAAAAAAAACCAAAAAAACAAACCAAAACCAAACAAACAAAAAAAACCCCCAACCCAGCCAACCAAACCCCCCCTCCAAAACCTGAAAAAAAAATCCCACCCAACAAAGCAACAAAAAACCAGCCCACAGCACCAGCCTCCAGAAACCACACAAACCAAAACAAAGAGGAATCCCCGCCGCACCCCCAAACTAGTAAAGGACTATAACTAGAACAGGCCTTACTTTGCAAACCAGGAAACCGAATGTATGCGTGCATTCACTGAACCTAGAGCAGTTCTCTTGCTACCATGCATAGCCATAGCCCTTTCAAATTTCATGTGGGTTTTTGTTTCGTATTAGAAGGAAGTGTTTTGTTACTTTCAAACACTTATGAAATACTTATGTGTGCTGCATTGCCACTAGAATAAGGAACTGGACAAAAATGACTCTTTGTACTGGTTTCTAAAGCTCAATCTGGGCTTTGGGGACCTTACGAACAGCTCATCAAAGACTTAAGGGCTCCATATTGTGTGTGTGTATGTGTGAATTAACTTAGCTCATGTGTCTGGGGATTCTCAAGTCCTAGTCACACTTCAAAGTTATGGTGATGGTCTATATGCATGCTGCAATTGAAATGCAGGACAAAGATGACAAGTAGCCCAAAATCTTGCATATCCATTTTGAACAGATTTTTGAATGGTGGTGCACAAGTGTGTGTACTGGACTAGATGATAACACAGTGGTCCTTTCTACCCTCAACTATTTTGTGATTCCATGCATCATTAACCATGCTGGTGAGAACACACAAGTACATTCTAAATTAACTACCTGTACAATCTAATGCTTGCACCAATGTAAATGACATTCCTATAATTTAGTCAGACTAAGGCACAGGGATGAAGTGGTGACCAACACCATTTAGCCAGGAGTTAAGAGCCCCGCTGCTGCCTACAAATCCAGCACATTGGGATAGAAAATATTTCTTGCAGAAACGTAGCCAAGGTTCCAGAATGGGCCTAAACTTAGCCTGATAGCAAGTGTTCAATCTGGTAACAATTCTTCCTTCATGGAAACAATTCCTTCCTTCCATCCATCTTTAGCAACATTTTTCAGTTTTCCTATCAGAACAACACCCATCTTACATAGTAGAGTCAAAGATTATCTTTTCTCCTAACCATGAGATGGTCAGCCAGCATCAAGAATGCAGCCTACAGGCAGCTCTAACACCCATTGTGAAAGGAGAAAGGATTATGTTTACAGTGGACATGGCTACAATTTATGCCCAAGACTACTTTTTAAGTTTTAGAGAGTATATGCATGCACAGGCTGGAAAAACAGAGGGCAAACAACATGGCTCCAACACTAGAGTGAATGACACTATAGCCATCCCAGCAGCCTTTCATCTTACGCCAGTCTTAAGGAGAGGTTCTGCAAGTGTGTAAGAACTTTGCCCTTTATAAATGACGCACAAGAGCTTTGGTATCAATCCCACCGACTGCTTCTAGATTTTAATTAGCAGTCTAAATAGTAAGGATGATGTTTTGATAAAAACAATGGCTAGAAGCTAGTTCTCTTCACATGAAGAGACACAGAAATCATAGTTGTCTGTTCAGACTACTAAAAACCTCAAAGAAGCCACATCCTTGTACAAGGTTGTGTACCCCAGCAATTTCACATGATTGTGTCGGTAATTGTTTTTTTGATACAATAAATGTGATAAAGATCTTCACTGAATTTGTTCCTGTGCCTTGTGTCAAATAAAATCGGAATATTATTTCTATGTTCTCTGCCTTCTACCTACGTTCTGGGTTGCTCTCCTACCGTAAGTAGGTAGTAAACTACATATACATGGCTCTAAAGCCTCAGCTACCAACTCTAGGTGTCATCTAACCCAAACAAAATGTTGTTTCACTCTCTGCTTCTTTTGCCACATCAGATGTTATCCCTCTATGACACTCTAAGTACAAAAGCAAAAACTTAACAAGGCACTTACTGGATACATTAAGAATGAAGACATTAATTTTTTTTTCCCCAGGATTCAGCTCCTTCCTCTACTACATGAGCAATGATCTGTTAAGGTCTGGTAGTTCCTAGTGTGACTTGCTTAGCAGCTTGTACCAGACCCATTATGTCAAGCTATAGCATAAAAGCAGGTAGGAGGTGGGCAGGGATGCAGTTGCTGCTGGGCTTCCCTCTTCAAATGATAGCAATATCCTGTTCCAGGTGTGTACCGTGAAGCCAGTATGATCTAGTTTTGTGCTTCAGTAATCCAGTATCTCCTTACAGTTCATTTGCTAGATGTCATCAATGCTGTAATTACAGGCAAACCTTCAAAGGGTCGTTTTCTCTCTCTCTCTCTCTCTCACACACACACACACTCCCACCCCCCCAACACTCTCTTAATTAATGGTAATACTTTACAGCCACTACTGCACTTCTGGTTCAAGAAAATAACTCTTGCTTTATAGCCCTTTCTTCTATAATCATGTTTAGGATATAATGCAAATACTGTATCTATATGCATTCTGACTACCCTCATAGCCAGTAGTCAAGCCTTCTGTCATGCTCTTCTCATTCTTCTTATTCTCCCTAGTGCTCCATCTCTAAGGCTATACCCAAGGATGTGTTTGCTCAGGTTCTTCAAAACAAGTTTAAAAATCTCCATATATTGCTTCAACTGCTATCAAACAATGGTTAATCATTTTAAATCATGCTGTGATGGCACAGGTGAACATCTGCAGTATATTTAAAATCCAGCATCCTAACAGGGTAAAGCAAAGTTTCCAGTTAAAATTTTAACTAAAGCCCCAGTTTTGAAACACACTGGTACAGTCTTCAAAAATAGCCACAAACCAGAAATCAAATACAACATTGAGAGAGCTGTTCTTGGAAAAAGCTGGTTCTTTTCCTTTTTAAAAATATGTAAGTGCCAGCAGTGACCCCAAAAGTGGATTCAGAAGTGTTTACAACTTGCAGGAAAATAAGTACCGCGTGGTACTTTCAGATTTTCTTTAAACCTTAACTGTCCAAATAAATAAGGATAGGGTAAAGTAACACGATCTCTGGAAACAACATTCTAAAAGAATAATTACAAGTTTTTGCAAATACTTCAATCTGGTACTTCCTTTTAGATGCTTATTGAAGTTCACCCCACAAATCTATGAGTGCAAAACCCACTAAAGTAATAATAGCCTTCATCTCCAAGACTAATTATTATTGGAAATATTGCTTCTTCTGTTGATTAGCCACCCCAGTTGAGAGTAAGAAATTACACTTCCAAGTAAGACCTTGCAGATTTTCTTAAGTGAAGCAATTCAACCATATTATATAACTGAGAAAAAAATCACTTTGCAATCACCAGTTTTACATTCAGACAGATGGCAGCAAAAGGCACGCATCTCCAGATGATCATGCTTGAACAAAAGTGAAATCATGACATATGGGTGATATTATGAAATAAAAATCAAGGATACAGAAGTATTTCTATATTCAGAACAAGAAACGCTTGCTAATAAAGCTAAAAACATCATCTATAGAAAGGCTTTCATGAAAAAAAACCCCAAACCAAACAAAATCCTTGCAAAGGTGTTCTAGAGGAAAGGGTTTAAAAAAATTAAAAATCAAACTTTAAATACAAACCCCTTTAATACAGTAAGAGACAAGATCACTGTTTCATCACAGAAGACTACCTTATTAGCACTGAAAATCCAGTCTGCATCCAGTTAGAAAATTACAACTATCTGAAATAATTACTTATACTATTGGTGCAAGCACAGACAACAGCTAAAGATGATGTCTGCATAAGAATCTTTTTGTAGTCAAAGACAATTTGGGTTGGCTCTTCTGCCTGTAATGGAAAAATCTGCAGATGCACTACAATAAGAGTTTTCCAGTAGATGGACTGAAGTTTTTGTTTCCACATTTTTTGTTTGTTCGTGGGTTTTTTAGTTGTTTTTTGCTTGTTGGTTTTTTTGTTTTTTTTTTCCAATTTTCGAGAAATATTCTGCAAGTCTGTGTCCTATAGAGAGGTTCTCTGCTCAGGGATTTTTTATGCCAAAAGAGTTTTCAAGTTTCTCTAAACAATGAGCCAAGGAAACACCATCTTCATATCTCACCTGATTCTTCAGTGAACATACCACAGATGCATCAATTTAGGGACTGACTCCAGTGTTTGAAATGACCTTGCCTGCAAGCATTTTTTTTGTTGTTGTTTTGTTTTTCAAAGACTGAAAAAGCAAAAGTAGTGATCTGTGTTATAAAATTCCTCTTCCAACATGACATACACTGTTGTAAAACAACTCATGATAGTAATAACAGCAATTAACTTTGCTGCATGTCATTTAGGTAAGTCAAATTATAAGAAGCTTAGAACAAGTAATACTTTTTGTTTACTTCAGTTTCAGCCTAAATCTCCCATTGATTACCTACTGTTAGAATGCCATGAAAAGTAATGCTTCATCAACTGAGAGAACATACCTATGTCAAAGATATAAGCATTGCCAAATCAGGCTGTGCTAACCAGAACATGGATTCCATAAGGATTTATCACCAGTACTTCCAGCCACATTTTACTACCAGAAGCAGTGTTTGTGACATTGCCATAGAGCTTACAGAGCTGTAAGAAAATGTGACGTGAGGAAGAAAGGTTTTAAAAGTGTCTTCATTTTAAGTCAATGATGTCTTCATCATATAAAGAAATCAGCTGAAATGGATAGCTAGATGGTGAGTTCTCCTCCCTGTTTGCTGAAGTATCAGGATCTGAACTAGTGGAAAGATGACGTCTTTCAGAATAGCCTTCAAATGAGCTTGAGATTATCCTGCAAAGAGGAAGACAAAAGTTACTAAAAAAAATACAGAGGTCAGGGCAGGAAGGAACAATGGCTACTTCTAGATCCAATCGTGTTATCCTGAAAACAGACACAGACCATTGCAACTAAGTTTCCTCCTGTTTTACTCTACTAAAAATAATCAAAAGGCAGTATTAATGAAGCCTCTCACCCCAATAATTTCCAAGTAGGGAAATATAGCGAACATAATTTTTCACTGCGAGAGATTTTTTTCTTTTGTTACTGTCAGTCTCCTGTATCTTGCCAGTATTCTGTATTCTGCCAGTACTCTAGGCAAACATAGGTTATGGAAACAATGAAAACAAGAGAATGGCACTGGGGGAGTCCTGGTTCAGGGCAAATTTGGGAGAGTGCCAAACAGACAAATGCTGCAGTACTTTTTCACAAAATGTATTCTGAAAATAGCAACACAAGAGCATACAAAGAAAACAAGAGAGTCTGCACAGTGCAGCTGCAGTAGTCCAGATTTTTCCAACAGGTTCAGCTGCAGCAGGTCCCACAAAATGCCATTTAGTCTTGTCTTGCATTATTATCATTAGTATTATCATTAACACGTCTTCAGCAAAAAGTGTAACTGCTTCAGTACTTATGGTATTCAGATACTCTAACAAACACATTAGCACGAAATGCACACGGATATGCAAAGGTTTCAGTCAGCCTCATGCCAACTGAGATAAGCATGAGCAATCAATTCTGAAAATATTTATAGCCTAACTTAGGCTCTTTTCTAAAGTATATTTACCTGTCACTACTAGTTGACCTTACAGCTCCCTGCTTAGGGTCCGACTGTCTTCGAGAAACCTTTTTCAGCTTCTGTGAACTTTCTGTCTTGGGTATAGGCTCATCCAAGAGACCTCAATAAAGGAATAAAAGACTTTATACTTTCAACATAAAACGAAGCACTCATGAAAAAGTTAAGGTATCTGTTGCTGGTTTCCATTACTAACGATTTCTACCTAACTTAGAATATGGCCTTCTTATACACGATCAGACAATGGCTATACTAGTTGCAAATAATGCTTCCTCACGGTTTCCTTTTTTTATTTTAATAATTTATGAATACTACCTGCATGTTACAAACCTACCTGTGATGGTGCAAAGATTAGAAAGTATATGTTTGGCAACTGATATGTAACACTGAGGAATGAGGAGAGTTTACCCAGCAATTCTTTACGTGTTCTGCTTGCAATTTCTTTAATTTCCATACGAGATAACGGTAGTGAGTGCAAAACTGGAAGAGAGGTAATGCCACTCGATGGCGTAGTAGCGATGACCTTGGGAGCCAAAGGTGACTTCAGAGGTCGTTCAATGCTTCGCCCAACCAGATTGCTCAGAGGTATTTTGTACAGGTTTTTGCATGGAACTTCAGCTGAAACACAGAAAGAAAAAGGAATATTACACTTGCAACACAGAAAGAAAAAAGAACATTACACTTGCACAACAGAATCAGTTCTTAATAATTTCAAATGAAAAGTTACAGAGACAAGCTATACTTGTTGAGCTGAGCACTGAAGTGACAAAAATCTTCTTGCTCTAGAGATCTTTCAATACAAATAAGCTAGAAGAAGGAAGACATACAAGCAATTTGACTTAGAGAGAAGAAGAAGATTGACTCTTGGCAACACGATGACTCAGGAGCAGAACCAGGAAGTGAATTTATATGACCTGTGGCTGGAACTCTGACTATTACTCTGCACTCTGTGCAGTATTTCCCGTGTGTTTTAAAGTACTCCAAACACATTGGAGCCTGGATACTAAGTGATTTAAATTATGACTCCTCCTCTTAGGTAACACAAAATATCACGTTTTCTTAATTCCTAGAAGAAAAACAAAGTCCCAAACTTATCATCAAATAAAAAATTTGTGATTACCTTCTTTTCCTATCTGCTAACAGTAAAGCAGCAGATTTAAGGAAGAAAACTGTACACACATCTTGCATTATTTAGCTGATGTTCCCTTGTTTCTCCTTTATTGTTACACTATAGACTGACCGCTCATGCATCGCGTTACACTAGATTGTCTGTGCAAAACTTTTCAAGGCTTCTTACTTTTGTTTTGCAAAAGAGCTTCAGCCATTCAGTGGTTATTCTGCTTTTCTTTAACAAAAGGAATAGCGTATGTGAAATGTCAAGCTTTCTCATAATTTTATGCCCCTTTTTGCATTATGACTTGTGATCACATTGTGAGTCATCAAGATATTGAGGTTTAATTCTTCCCTTCCTACAGAATTTATTTCTTCAGAACAGTGCTACCATGCATTCAGAAAGGATACTACAGTGCAAAAGCTCAGACAAGTGCTTTATATGTGTGGAAAATAGAAAATCTCTTATCCTCCACACTTTCAGGTAGGAACTCACATTTTTTTACCATCTTTACTTAAGACCAGCCGCACCAAGATTTGATAACTGTTGGAATGATTAGAGATCACATTACCTTCTAGAGAAGGAAGAGGTAATTCTGGCTTTTCATAAGCTGTCGGTGTTTGAGGAGAACTCTTTGAACTCATTTCCTTAGAGCTGCTGTCAGATGATCCACTCACTGCAGCAGTAGCTTTAAAATAAATATCCGACTGAAATGACAAATAACCCGTCATTAGAACAGTGAGACTTTCTTAATCATCTTCTGATTCTCTTTGTCCTTGATATAAACTAGGAGCAGACAGATGAGCAATTATTGCAGGTAAAGTAAGCATGTATTTCGGTTTTGTTTGTTACGTTTTTAGCGGCAAAAACTTTTTATGTTAATTAGATCCTAACACATCACAGAAATAGTCAAACATGATTTTTCTGTCTTACCCTTGATGCTACAAGTTGAAGCTCAGGCACAACTGCTGTGTGGACTAAGTTCCCATTCACCACTAATCGGATCTCAATGGAATCAGTAGTGAAGGCAAGAACATAAGGGAAAGCACAGACTGCAATGAAATAGAAGTTATTTGGCAAGGAAAAATCGTTAAAGCAAAAGTTTCTTGGATGCTCCACAAAAACTGTTCTTGACCTCTTCCTTGACCAAGTTCCTTTCTTATGAAAAGTGTTGTCTAACATACTGAAGAAAATTTCACTCTTCATGCCTGGCAGAATATAGAGGGAATGGAAAATGAGAAACACAAAAAAGAAAGGGGAAAAAAGTTCAACAAAGGACAAACTTGCTACCAAGGCTCCACTTTTCAAAATTATCAGAAACTTTAGTCAAGTGGCATCATGAATGTAACATGCTTATTCCCAGAACACTGGAATTCCACCAGGGCCAAGTGCAGGCAAAAACAGTAGCAAAAAATCATCTACTAAAAAGAGAAATTTTCTTACCAACAGCATAAGGAACTTGATTCCAGCTGAAGTGGAAGTCATAAGCTGATGGCTGGACAAGTGGGGAATGTCCACTGAAAGGATATACCTTTCTGTACTGACAAACATCTGTAGCAAAATAGAAAAAAGGGGCATCCATCACTTTACACTGTAAGCAACCACCACCCATTTTATAGGGAGATTTTGCAGAAGGCTGGACATTATGCACACAACCAAACATTCATGTAAAAATCCCTCTATAGCCAAACAGCTAAGCAAAAGTTGCTTTCTCTGTGAACACACTGGAAAGACCAAAATAAAAGACCTATGTTTTAATAAGTTGTCGTATTTCACAAGGTATTACTGTTTCAACAGTTACCAGGTCCCTAATTTGTCCAAAGATACAGAAACAGGCAAGAAAGAATTCTGCAGACACTGCTTTCTGAAGTTATCTCTCTGCCCTTCAAGTAGCCATATGTTAATGTAATTTACATTCTTTGAAGACTGTTAAGCACATGGGTTATTACAGACACCAAGATTTCATTAATCATGTAACTTGCACATGTATAAAACAGCTAGTATGACTAAAATACTTGCATTTGTAATTTCTCCAATATGCATTTAAGTTCCAAAGAACGTATTTTGACAAACTTTCAATGAAACACTAAAATTCATTTTCAGATACAGACCTAGACTCCAATGAAAGAAGATCTACACATGTAGATTGAGCTATTACCACTTCTGGCCTTCCCTAAACACTTACAGTTATAGCACAACAGTAGACCAGCTTCACCATCTTCATATACATCAATAGCCGCAACAAAATTAACCTGCAAGGATAATGGAAAAGATTAACAAACAGGCAGAGGATACTGTGGTTATTACAACTGGGTTGTGACTAACAAGCAATACAATCAGCTGGGGAAGTGCACAACTACAGGTAAAAGGGGAAAAAAAGAGAAATAAATAAATAAATAAATTTATAAAAATAGCTTCTTTTGTGATGTAATTTTCAGGATGTTCTCAAGATGAAAATTAGTTTCCTTTGTATTTGGTTCTGTACAGTACCGAACATTCATAACCATACCACACTGCAAAGCAATAAAAACATAACTTATTTAGCAATATAAATTTTTGGAAATAGGATGATTTCAGAAAGCTGTGAATCAACATGGTACACTAAAGATAACAATTCTTTTCAAAAAGTGATCTTCAAATGCACATCATGACTAGCAAAAAGATCATATACAATTCAAAACCACTAACATTTTACAGAGGTCAACAGGGATGTACCTAAGGATTACCGAACAGTCTGAATTTACATATTGAAAAGCAACATTGGTTAAACCAAAGTATTTTTTTACATAGATTAGGCTACATAAATTCTCTTAATTAAACTTTGGTTTTGTCTTTTACATTAAGATTAAAAACAAACCAAAACAGCCACAAAAAGTAGGATATCTGTTCAGGAAATGAGATCTTATTAGCAAAATGCATAAGGTTACATTAGACAAATGCTTCCCAAACCATGTATACTGCTTGGACAGGGAGAAGGCTGAGAGACTGATTCCGTGAACAGCAGTTCTTTGACTTTCCTTCATTTAGGATTCCTGTGCAGGTCAAGAACTGTTAAGAAAACCTGAAAGTTTACGCATCCATACCAAATGCATTTTGACCAGTCTTTTGTAGTGACTGAAAGCCATTGCTGCTCTATTGTCCAAAGAAATAAGCAGGCAACCCATTTCAACATCATAAAAATCACTAGCTCAGCTCATATTAATTGTCTGTTTTATTTGTCTTCCTAAAGGAAATAAGGATTCCGGTGTGGAAAAGAAATGGGAGTGGTGGATGGATGGTGGATGGTGATGTACTTCTCCACCCCCCATTCTTTACTTCTAGTTCCTCCTCATCCAGATTAAGATTGATTCCCAGTGCTGTGGAGAAGTTTATTCTTGATCAGCCATGCCAGGGGCACCTCTTCATCACCAGATCCGAATAAAAATAGAGACGATTTAAAAAGAAAACAACTTATCAAGAACCATCAAATGAATAAAGTAGTCCCTTATCTCATTAACAACAACAGATTACCTGTGCAAAATCTTCTTTTTTTTAAACAAAGACATTACCTAAATCCTCTCCCTATGTCCTAGACAGATAGATATTCAGTTATTAGTTGACTGGGCAGCAGTTTCTTAAATAGAATGATAAACAATATGTAAACATTTTAGCTACATGCAAATAGGCAAATCTGAACAAGATACTGGTGGTCAACCACTGAAGTTATTTTGAAGCAACTTTTTAAACAATAAAGTACTGATACCACAAAAATAAAGCCAAAAGCTAACTACTGGCTAAGAAAGAAGGAAAAATTAACTCTTGACAACAACAACATTTCAACAACACAGGCTTTTTCCCAATGTCATATCTTATAACTACCTCTCTTGGGAATTATCATCACGTATCCCAAAAGGAATAAATACCTCAGAGTGTCCTAAAGCCAAAAGTAGCACACATGAGCTCCTTACCCTCCTAGGAGATCAGCACAGCATGCACTGAGTCTGCAACAAATTATGCTCAGTGAGGGTCTGCAAAAAAACTTTCAACTGATGAAAACTTACCCTGTTTGTTTCAACATGATGCAATCTATAGGACTCCCCTGTACTCTCATTGATTAAATCAAACTGATGCCGATACGCTACACAGATCATATTGTCACTGTCTCCAGTAGGTCCATCCACCAACGTCATAACCACTGGAGGGTCAGAAAGGCATATTTCCTATAACGTAAACAATAGAATTACACTCTTTTTCCAGTTCCTACTGTGGGTGCTGCAGGTACTCCATGATTTTAAAGGGATGCTTTCTAAGCACAGAAGCATAACAAAGAACAAGCAGAAACAATTCTTGAAAAAATCTCCAAGTTTTATTTAGCATATATACGACTGGTTTCCACCATATGGCTTCTCACTTTTATTTGTCTGTAGATTCAGGAAGATGATCATGCATATAACTCTGCCTTCCCTGAACCCCCTACACTAGCTGAGTGCTGCTCAGTGTGTTAAGATAATTAGTAACTGGATTACACATACCCGGATGTACTGGAACTCCTCTACTGGAGATTCAGGAGACGACAGCAGAGAGGTGCTGATTGAAGTGTCGTCCGAATTATATTTCTTTGTGACGAGAAGTAGTTTGTTCCGAATAGCTGCAACAATCCTCAGCTCGCTCCCGTGGTGAGTATTAATGGCATACAAATGGCAGCCTGAGGAAATAATGGTCTGGGCTCTAAGTGGTCGGGATAGGGTCTGATTGTTTTGTATTTGTATGATGATTAGCACAACAGGGCTCTGATGGATGACTTGGCAACACAGAATTAAAAACTCCTCAATAGGATTACATTGACTTCAGGGAAAAGACAAAAGCCTATGACCCTTTTGAAATCTACTTTTAATCCGAAGTACATGGATTATCACTATACTGCACCTTCCAGCTTTTCAAAGCAGCTTACTTATGAAGACCAGGAAACATTGATTTCTACAAAAATAATGGGCAACACCCAGACTAATCTAAGCACTACTGTTTGATAGGGGATCTGCCAGCATGCCAGTCCAGCTTAAAGTGGGCTTTACTTCAGTATAACATCCCCACAAAATTCTTCTCGTATCTCCCAACCCTGAAGTCTTATTTTTCCCTAAAGCTTTTCATCATTAGCAATTTCCAAGTAACATGGCTTTTTTACATCATTCAAAAATGTCATGCTGGACTGTACTAAAGTAATTTTCAAATATAAGCTTAGCAAAGTTTGAATTGACTCATCCAGAGAAAAAACCTAAAAGTGAACACCTACACCTGCCTAAAAAGAGCTAACAAGCCCCTGGCAGCTACCGGCATCAAAACACAGTGGATGTTTTTAATACAGGATAAGGAAAACAATATCACCTTTTGTTCTCTCCAGTTTATTTTCTCTGCAGTCATATTTGCTTCTTATGATTTTTTTAGTCTCTATATCTTTTTGGACAGCACTGAGTCTGAAGACAAGGATACGAGAGTCTTTCCCTGCCGTATGGAGAGAACCAGGAAAAAGGTTAGAAAAAGAACACGGTAGTTTGAAATTAATACTTCCAATGAGAAGCAGCACCTAACAAACAGAGCAAAAGTAAACAAAGCATAATACCTCTCTGGGGACAGAAGACTTACAAACTCTCTAGGATTTACAATTGTAGTAATCAACCCCTTCAGCAGAGTAGCCAAGTTTCCCATTAGGTGGTGCTGCACCAAAGAATGATCCGAGAGGTTCCAAAGAGTGAAATGCACAATATTTTGCAAATACATAAAATACAATAGATATAAACTACAGGGAAAGAGTAAAAGGGTTAACTTCAAGAGCTGGAACCATCCAGGTGAGCAACTGATAACTGGATCCTCAGCAGAGTTTGAACCCTTCAGGATACAGAAGGGTTTTCTCCAGAAATTTCACAAACTGAGTTTTGATATAACTACACTTGCCAGATCCTCAGAAATGTCACCCATTCTCCAGGTGTCTTGAGAGAACTGCAAATGGCTCTCACGTAGTTTGAGCTAGTTCTGTAAGATCTCAGGGTGAATTTCACCAGATGCAACCAAATTGGGCAACTCCCAGTGAGACAGAAGGAACCATGTTTTACCCAAAGCTTGGGTAAGCAGAGCTTCAGCAAATACTGAGGAAACAGACATAACAGGGTAAAAAATAATAAACCAACCATATCTGTAATGCTTTCCGAGTTATACATAAAGATCCTGATCTTGCTTTGTGTATGTTCCCTTTATGAAATTCAGTCACAGACTACTCTTTTATTGGGTAAAAACTACCTCACTAAAAAAAGTGCACATTTAAGCCTTCTGAATGAGACAAAATGTCATCCAGCAATACCCGGAGTCAGGCAAGAATCCAAGAACAGGGACCTCTCCTACCTTTGTCTGTTCGGGCAATCAAAAGATCCAGAGCTTCCAACACATTCATCTGCTTTATTTGGAGAGTTTTATCAAATACTTGCACTGACGGTTGACCATCTAAAAGAGAAACACATATGTATTGAAAACCTACTAAAACTTACTAGATGCTGGTTTTGAACCATTTCTTTCTTCTAATTGAAGTCTTGGGTTCTTTTCCTTACAAAAATGAAGAGAAAAAAACCCAAAAAGAATGGCACAAAGCACCTACACGTGCCACAGCATCATAGCCAATACTTCCTCACAGGACAGTTTTATTATCGTCATGAATCAGATAAAGCGACTGAAATCTCAAAGTGACATTCCTTTGGCAAGTTTGAGAATTATGACCAAGCACTAACTTCATTCCCTCAGTTCCGCTGGCCTTATGTAGCACACAGAGGATTATAAGGGATCAGAGTAGCAATATCAATGCTAAGGGAAGAAGTAGGATATCATTGTCACATAAGCCCTTGGCTTCATGCTTGCTATTATCAAGGGCTAAGAAAACCAGACAAGCCATTTAGACACCTCTTGAACCTGGATGCGACCTCCTACAGCTTTTCAGATGGTCAAGAAAACAACATCTGAAATAAGAACACATTCAGAAATCTGCATTAACACTAGCTCGCCAATATGGCTTGATTCAACTGCAGAATGAATTTTTGCAACTAGGTTACATAAATGGAATAGATTTACTCGGAATAGTAACTATCCCCCTACATAAAGACTTACTAACACCTGAACAGAGTTTATGAACACATATTTTCAAGAAAATGGTCAGATACATAAAAATTGACACAAAAACACTAGATCATTTACTAACCATCTATTAACAAGATGCCAGCATCTGTAGAAACCAGCAAGGACTGGCCCCAAGAATCTGCACAGACAACCTCATGAGGAAAATTACTGCAGAAAGACTGAGATTCCCAAGGCTATGAAGTAACATAAGGGATACATATTAAGTACACTAAAAAATACAGATCATACAGACACAGAATGTGATGGACAATGGCAATAACATGTAAATGCTTTTGGCAGGATACATTTCCAAACAGTATATTGCTGGAATTAGAAATATCAAAACTGAAATCATTTCTGGCAGAGGACTTCCTGCATCAATTCTGGTTTGGAGACTAGTAAGACACATACCTGAAACGCTAGAATTAGAACACGTGCAGCTGAAACTCAGCGCAACCATCACGCAATAATTTTTTTCATTTAAAAATCCCAAACCTATATATTTAAAATGTATGTACCACTACACATATGCAGTTTGCTTGTATTTTATGGTTCAGTTTGTGATGTTTAGTGACTAGCATATGGTACAGTTTCTGCCTTTCTGCCAAATTGTTCTTCCATCCCGTGTTCTCTGTACTTACCTCCCAGAGCCTGCCCCTCCTCTCCCAATTTATATATTAGTTGAATCTCTGAAATTCTAGAAGCACTTCTGAAGCTTCTGTATATAAAATACATGCAGAAGAGTGCAGCTGGCATATTTCACTCCCTAATGACTTCAAACAAAAATCCAAACTAAATAAAAGGAAATGAAAACACAACTGAATCTTATTTCAAAAGTGCTGAAATTAAAATAAAAGATGATTGCATATGGAAGATATGGCCTTCATTGAATTTTCTCAGATGTAAAAATGCCCGCACTTGCTTTAACTTTTGGGAAGTGCTTCTGCCCCCAGGCTCATCCTTTATTAATCTAATAGTGACTGCAGAATCAGTTTGACACTGTACCTTTCCTCTTTCCTGCTGCAGCACCTAATTACAGAAGTAAATAAATATATACCATACTACATAATGTTTAACGTTCCACAACTTCTCTGACAGTTTCACTCACCTCCTTTTTACAAAAGCTTGTGGTTGCCAAGTTAGCTGTGGTATCCCCTTTCACAGTGGTTTTCAATTTCAATGCCTAATACAAACAGATGTTTTATTTAAACTGAGTTTTTGTCAGCAATACCCAAACTAAAGACTATATTAAAAGGACAATTTAGGACTAGAAAGTAATTCCAGTTTGGAATTCCTATGCCATTTTAAGTAATGAAAAAAGAAGCAGAATTCTGTATCCTCAACGATGTCAAATGGTCCTTAGGTATCTTAGCCAAAACATACCTTGGCTGTTTCTTGGTAAGGGTTTTTTTTTTTGTTTCTTTTTCTTTACTTGCTTTCTAAATGGCAACCCAGAAAAGAAGAGTCAAACGTAGTAACAGAGAAAAACCTCCACCTCAAACTACAGAATCTAACCATATACACAGTTTACTTTATTATTAAAGTAGCCAGATAGAGGATCCTCTTGTCAATTATACAAACTCACCTTTGATTTGCAAAACTTCCTGACACTAAGGCTAACTATATATATGTCTGTCTACGTATATTGCCAGGCATCCCCCTAAGGTACGATTTTTACAACCTTCATTTAACTCATGTACGATATAAATATTTCTATGTGTATACCTCAGGCGTTACAGATAAATACTTCATGTTTTATTTTAATGTAACTTATAATAATGCAATACTACAAAACTATTTATGGTCACAGAAAACTGCATTAAATCCCGACATAACTGCAAGGTAATAAAAGTTTAACAAAAGGAGTGACACATTCTTTGTAAACCTAGCCGCATACCTTCTACAGTGATCCTACCTGACCAAGCCGAACAAACTCTGCTTGTCGAGCTTCCTCTTTTTTCCGTGTTGATTTTGGGGACTCTGGTAACACATCACTGAAGGATCTTCTATTAAGCATATTCTAAAATAGAAAATGTTTCTTTCTAACTGCACAGCTTCTCAGGGAAGAGAAACTGCAACTCTTCCAATCCTTCAGCGCTTTACCTTATACAGTTTGTCATATTTTACCACTGTCATGTTCTGTACGATCATACTACATGAATATGTGACATGAATATACGAAAAAGAAAAGTTTAAGCAGATCTATATAGATAAAAGAAATAAACACTGGTCAAAAAAATAGCAACTTGTTAGTTTTAGAAGTACTGAACTTATTTTTAGTTAATTAAGAATCACCTTAAGTCTTTATCATCCAAAATAAAGTTACCTCATAGCTACTCAGGGATAAGAATCATCTAAATTTACACATAACAGAACAAATGCAGATTTTATGGTGATGAGACTAATGCCTGTATTTATAGTATCTAAATTCCCTATTCCCTCGCCGCAGGTAAGCTTACACCAAGTACGACATTTTTATGCTTCCCCTCACACCTGGTGAAGAGTCCTGTCCAGAAAGGACTGTCTGTCAGCTTTCATAGAACTGTAAAGTAAGTTATACAACAATCAGTATTTAGCTTAGTCATATGCAATTCAGTGCTCATTAGGATTACAGTCCTTTAAAGTGACAGAACATTCAAGCCACTAGTTAGAACAGGACAGCACATATGAAGGATGCAGAAACTTCTGACTTACATTTCCCTTGTGTAGGTCAGGCATCATGTCTTGGTATAAAGAGCGGATCAGCATGTCTAGAGTGCGCTGACGTTTCTGAGAAAATGTTGGTGTTTCCAAGGTGGCTTTTTCACCATTTATTACTAAATTATTATGGAAAAAAGAGACATAATGTAAATGAACTTCAACAATATCCACCAACTCTAGTTTGCCTCTGTATCAAAACACCTGCTGTGCCCCTATTAATTTAAAATTGCCTTCTTTTTGCCTTTTTAAAGAATAACTCTCCCTTCAGTTAAAGGAGAAAAACTGGTAATAGAAAAATTCCACAAGGCATCAGAATAAATACCTAACTAATAAATAAATTGAAGACAAACTACCGGTCAACTTAAGTACTAAACAATTTAAATACTCAAAATGAGCCATCAAGCTCCTGTCAGGTTTATTTGTAATCAACATGGTCAATTTTGAAAGTTTCCTTTCTTGCTGATTTAGAAGGGCAAATACAGGTCAATGAAAATTGGAACGGAATGATTACAGAATTAAAAGGGCTGCACAGGCGTCCTTCAGCACCTTTAAGAATACATTCGGAAGAGATGCTATTTTCAGGTTTTCAGAGCTACTAAATTAACGCCTTCTATTACTAAATAATGAACAGTATTATAAATCCTTTCAGATCTCCCAAGCCCTTTACAAAAATGCAAAGCTAAATACGGCTGCAAGTTCTGCAAATGTGAAAGTCAGCCTCTGTCTAGTAGCCTGAGAATTTTTTTTTTAATCTAACTGTAACAGTTTGATGGAACTGACGTCCCAACTATGCTACAGATATGAAAAAAAAAAAATCGGATACAGATCAGCAGAATACACGAGAAAATGCATATACATTTTAAGCATCACAAATTTTAATTTGTTTGCACAATTATTTAAGAGTGTTTCTAGCAAAAGAAAAACTGACTTACATTTCACCAACACAAAATCCCTGAACTCCTGGTGATTTGTAAACACAGGTGGGGATGGAAGGGGAGGCCCAAAGAGAGGAACGCTTTCTTCTGAAAATATTTTCAGCCTATTGAAAGTACAAATCTTTATCTATATTGAAAGTCACATTCAAACCTTACCTTTTTTATAGACACTATTCAGAACCAAAGGAAAAAAAAAAAAAGGAAACTTATCTGTGTGTCTTACATACAAATTTCAAAGGGCATAACCAAAAAAGATTCACTTGGAATTACTCAGCAGAGCAAAGTTATGTTTCTTTTACACAAACTAACACAGGGACATAGAATTAGAACAGAACTTCGCAGTTCTACTCACGCAGCAATAGTTTTAGTGGCACTAGCAAAATACAGCCCTGTTCAAAAACACTGTAAATGAACACGTACAAAATACACGTACAAAAAACGTTCTCCTTACAGATTTCCACTTTCCCTATGCATTCACCAAACGCATGAAATATTTGCTGCTTCCGAAGTAACAACGGCTTACAACATATGAATCTGTAGCTTGGGAACAGCAAATTCATTTACACTGAGGAAGACAGAGTCAGAATAACTTCCGTAACAGCTGGACCTGCCGAGTTATTTTGATCCATAAGGAATCCAGCATAGCAATATTGAATAGCAGATACAAACCCATGCCTATTTGTTGACCAGGGCATAGCTTCTTTAAGATAAGTAATCATTCTTGGCTATTTCAAGTGATAGCTTGCCAACAATTGGCATGCGTAGATGACACGGGTCACAGCAAGTTCAGTGGCAAAATTATAGATTCAACCTGTATCTGCTATTTTAGAAACCAGACAGAATTTACTTTCTCCAAAAGGCCAGCAGTGACTGACTGATATTGAGTCTAATGGATCACAATGCCTTCATACAGTCTTTTTTCTTGAAAGCTTAGGAACAGCATACAGTATGAAACGCAGTACTACATTTGCATGAATATTGATCATCTTAATATTTGTTACACATATTTGAGACACAGTTTCATGGCTGCCCTCTGTCTATTTAATTACGTCCAGGTAAAAAAAGCAATAATTTATAACTACAAAAGGTGTGAAATGCTCCTTAACTACATCAGAATTAATTGTAACAGGGAAAGCCGTAACAGAACTGACTAAAAAAATTGACTTCTTGAGTGACATAAAATATAAGGGCATTCTAAGCAGAAATTCAGCATCAGACCTCAGAGCGGTATTGCATTTGAAACAGGGAAAATTTGCCTCAAAAGCCTAGAGCATCCCCTATCCCTTTTTACTGAAATTTTGACCACTTGGAAGACTGTCTTCACACACACACAAAAGTAAGAGAAGGAACGAGTTCTATTCAGGCCTACAATCAAATGACGGAAGGAAACGTAATGGGGGCAAGCTGAAATACAATGTTTTAAGGTTGTCATACAGGAAAAAATACTACGCGATATGTACTACAGCAAGATGTGTCAAGACTGGCAGAATGAAGGAATTAAGATGGACCGATCTAGTAAAAGCTGCCAATTTCTCTCTAATGCAAGAGAGAAATTTATCTTGTGTACTGCAACTCATTTCCTTCCCCACATAAACAGCAATATAAAAAGCATTTTACCATGGCTAACCCATCTACAGACTATCAGTTTACAATCGGGACAACAATCACTTCTTAAAGGGTAATGAGGAATGTATGCCCAGGGTTTCTGTCTCAAAGCAAGAAAAAGAAAGAAGTGACTGCATTTTCACTTCGGAATCATGAACATGTTCTGAACATCAATTTAAACAAATTTGCAAGAGGAAGCTGACGAGATCATGTAGCAAAATAAAACTATTCCTTGCTTAACTGCATTACAGACACGACCCCAAAGAAACCTTAGCTGTAAATAAGAGGCAGGGGAAAAAAACTCCCACACACAAACTGAAGTATCATTCTTGTCTGGAGTTAGATTTAATGAAATGCTGAAGAAACACAGCAATATGTAAAATTCTGGCAGGTTTTAAGTACGTGACATTCAACTATACGAGTACTCTATTAAAATCCCCAAAAATGAATTAGCTTGCTCAGCTACAGCTAAACTGCAATTTGTAAGGACTTGTAGTCCGTGGCTATCGCAGCATCACGTGCATTAAATAACTGTCACCATCCACGTAGTTTACTATGTCATTGATCTCACCAGGTATGAAAGTTCCAGGCATATCTTTCATCATATTTTATATTTCATCTAAAAACCAGTTTTGGGTTTCCCCCTTAGCTTATGCCTGTTGCAGAATTTAACGTTTCTGATGTTAAGAAACCTGCTACTTATAGCCAGTTTAGTGACATCTGCATGCAGGTCCATATTGCTCTTCAGTTTCTAAAGCACATTTGGCTTCCTGGCGTACAGACAGGTGGATCTGTCTGTATGCCAGAAAGTTCTTCCATTGCCAAAATGTTTTCCCGTTTTCTCTAAACCATCAGTTATTCGTTGTGAAATTATTTGTTACAATCAGCACCTACCTGTAACTATCATTCTGCTTATTATATCTCACTAAAGCAAAAATATCTGCCATACAGTTAAGGAAGTTAAACCAGTTCTAATAAAGCTCGCATGTATTTTAATAAACTTTTCTTTTCGTGCAGTACATTGCAGATTTAATAAAGGTACAATATATTAATCAAGTCAATGTAAATATATAAACAATTCTAGACAATATAGATTTCACTGTTTATAAAAGGGGTCCTATATGAAAATGTTATTGCTTGATCAACAGTTTTAAAAACCAAGCTACTACCACAGACACAGCATAAGACATACTATAGAAGTTTGTCTTATTCGTATTTGATATATTTGTGATTAAAAATACTTTTAGTTGATAAAGCAGTACTGATACTGAACTTTGCTTATACCAAAGCTTCCACTGAAGAAAATATTCCAATGAAACAATTTAGCCAACAGAACTATAGGAAAAATGAGACAATGATTTAAAGTGCAAGTTATACTAAGGCTGATGCTCTATTGTAGAGTTACATTGATGTGGTAAACACTTCTTAGTATTTAGGTTCCTTTGATACGTAAAGATTTTTATTATTTTTTCAAACTTTGTTCATTTTCATTCACCCCTAGCAAGTGGGTTCTAGGAACATTTAATCTGCCTGACAACTAGGTATGGAAGTCTAAAGCTTTAAAACTCAGCAACAGAGTATAGACAGACATTAGAGTTTTCTTCTTCTAATTCATTTTTCCTCATTCCATTCTATCTAGTCTAACACATGCCAGATTGGGGTCTATAGATTACTACTATTGTGACCCCATGGTAATTCCAAGATATTGGCCGCTGGATTCCGCAATCATATAGTCTTCAAAATGTTTTCAACCGGAAGTCTGGAAAACATAGGCTGTTAAAAAACTGGAGAATATATGGTAAATAGTCTGAAAAATTTGATGAATACTGATCTAAAATACAAATTTCAAATAAACAGCATCTAAACATTGAAAGGCGATATTGAGTAAAATGCCAAAATAATTTACAAAACCAAGATAAATGAATTTATAAATTTGGATTTTTTGAAAAGGTATAAAATTAGATTTGTGAAAGGATACAAATAAATGCTTTCAATAAAAGGATTTAAAACTCACATTCTTGTTTTTACCTTATCCTCTAAGGGATTTAACAAACACTGTTAGATGCTGCAGACTTGGAAACTCCTAGTTAAGAAGCTGAAGGTCAAGAAGGCAAGAATGCAACTGTAAAATAATTTTCACTTCCATAAACAGCATAGAGGGAGGAATTCAGGGCAGAATTAAAAGTAATATTGATCTTAAAAAAAAGAAAAATCATTAGAAAATGTCAGGAAAAAGATACGTGTAAAATGAGAGCGAATCATGGATGGCTTGAATGCTGGAGAAGACTCTTCACCTTCCTGAAATATGATAGTGACAATGTCATTTCCAATATGTCGCTTCCTTTCTACCTGGAAAAAAAAAGGAAAACAAAAAAGGAAAAAAAGAAAGAAGAGGCAGAAAAAAAGAGATAGACAGTGACTTACAAGACATACGTAAGTATCTTAGCAATTCTGTGACAGAACAATAGAACAATATTCCTAAACTGTAAACAGAAAAATTACAGTCAATATGACTGAGGACAGTATAAAACCATTACTTAACTATAAGCAAGTAAACCTAGCGATGACATGGTGCACACAACGAGGCAGGTTCTAGAAGAATTGATATTGCATATGTTTAGATAAGCACTCATAGTTTCCATAATTAATATTAACGAATTTGGCATGGAAACTCTAGCATTCCAAAAAAAGCAAATCTACCGCTTGAAATAAAAGGACAAAAAACTCTGGTGCTGAAGTATTCTTTTGAAAAAAATATTCTGGTTGGCCTCCATTTTCCTCTGTGATCTTGTCATCAGTCCAAGCAAAAAGCATGAGAAAACTGCCATATGTCAGAATGCATAGTAAGAATAAATGTAAGAATGCATAATAAATCGAGTAATTTGTAAGTAATTTAGGTAAATCATTATGGATGTATGATGTATAATAAACACATGTGCCTATAAAGTATTTTTTTCATCATAAATACAAAGAAAGGCCTGAGCAATGAATGACAGCACATTTGAACAAGAACCCACCTAGTTAATCCATGGCAGTGTGAGCACTTCTTAGGTTACCAACCTGAACGTGCTCACAAGGGGAATTTCTTTCAAGCGACACTAATTGCTACTCAAGCAGGAACTATGGGATACACATGTGAATATTCCTACAATTCACACACAAGGCTAAGTTCCAGTTTTCCTAAAGTCTTTGAGGTAATAATTACAGCAGTGAAGCTCTTCAAGTCATCTGAACACCACACTTAATCACTTCTCTGTGAAGCAACTTAGATCTTCTTCACAAGTATCTTTTGTACCTTAATGGAGATGATAGGATGCATTATTTCTAATAAACAGAATGAAATTTTCAGCATCGGGTAGGATATTGAGGAAAAAAAGTGCAAAAGTCTCAAGGCTTGCATCTCTCAACTATTAACAGACAAGAAGTCCTTTATTTCTTACCAAGTTTTGGAGTTTGTGATTTAACAAATAAAGAGGGAAATAAAGAGAGAACCATGTACCTGCTGCTTGTTCTCTCTAGAATATGGTAGCATGGTTGAAACATGGAACATAATTTCATGCCCTTGAAAAACTGTATAGATGGAACAGGTTCCTGTTGTATCATCTGCAAGGGAAGGCAACATTTTAAGGAGGAGTATCTCCTGAAAGTTTTCTGAAAATCAAAAGATATCTCAAGTCTTTCTACCAAAAGACTCTAATCATCTTCAGTTACCCTTCTTTGTCTGATCCACTTTAGAAAATGTCCACACCACATGTTTCATGTGAGTCCAAACCAAGTTTGCAACTAATCTGCATATTCACACTTAAAACCTATTACACCTTTCACCTACCCTCCTGAAATCACACGGGTCTTCAAGCCACAATGTCCTTCTACCATGAGGCAAGTAACATGTCAGGTTATCATTCCAACTTAAAATGAAACCGTTCACCTTGATAATAGCTGTCATAACTGCATTCCATACCAGTGACTTAAGCTAACCTGACTCGTTCCTGGTGAACGAGTTCTACTTCTGGTGAAGCAGAGCATTTAATACACAAACGAGGAAGCCCGTTTGGGGATTTTTTCATAACCACGATATATACAATATGCACTACACACAATAAGAAGAAACATTTAGAATGCAGCTCCACCCCCCTCTCATTGCTTCAGATGAGTTCTTACTTTTAGTGTCCAGTCCTCCTCTGTAGCCTGACCAGCCTTTCAAAGTAACTGTGTCACCCAAGAGATGCAAAAATCGTTGAAAGCATTCACTTCCAGTTTCTACATGTGGGAGGGAGAAATGTTACAAAAAAAGCGCATCCATAGTAATAGAACATATCTCAAAAATGACCAAAATGAGGAAATGGGTCCTGCTTCCAGGACACAAAGTTTCAGCTGAGTTAGTTTCCTTTCACATCTTCCAAGCCTACTGCCTTTCCAGAAAGAGCACCTCAAATAGGCATCATCACATAACATTAAACAGTGACCTCTTTTGCTAGCACCAATGCTGTTCAAGCGCATAGGAGAATGTGATCATGCTGTAAAAGAGTGAAAGAACTACAAGCAGTGAGTTAATGAGTTGCCTCCTTCAAATACCTCTTTTTTCTAAATGTTCATGTCACACGGTCTATTTCTAGGAGAGATTTCACTCTCTTTCAAGCTGTAACAATAGGCTTCCTACTGTCACTTCTTACAGACATAGAAGACCCTATGCTACAATTTTTCACCCAACACAGGAAACCAAACTAAACGACTGTTCATATAACCATTGCCTCCCGCCCTGCTTCCCGCTGTAGGCACGATCTTGCCTTTTTTTTTTTTTATTCAGATGAACAAAACAATTAGGGAGAAGGTGAAAAACTCACCATTACTGAACATTTCATCATCTGTAAGCTGACCATCCTTAGCATAAAGGACTCCAAATTTAAAATTCACCGATCCCTGGGAAATAAAACCAAATATTATATGGTAAACAGTCAAACAGAAGACATAAAAATTTGTTTCCTCTAAGGACTTTGATGTATGTATGTATCTTTGTATACATCCTACACATTAGAACATACACTTTATACCATCTCCTAATACAAAATAATTTACCTTTAAACTTTGATAGTATAGCACAAAATTATTAACTTAAATTGGTGATCTATTATGATTAAGTTGGTGCTTAAAGTTATTTTTGCTGTCATGTTCAAAAAAACATTAATTTTTTTTTTACTGCAATTGATTTCAAAGTCATCATAAGCCCATCAAAATACAAAGCTGTATTCACTGGATGGGTCTGTGAGCTAGAAGTAGTCAGGCTTATACTTACCTCTTGCTCTTCCAGAACCAATAAATCCTGTCAACAAAAACAGCATCTTTAGCCCACTTGTATTAAAGATTCTACAAGGATGATGGTTTTATTTGTGTTTAGAAGTTTTGATTTGAAATGGCCAGTTCAATGGATAAAGACAGTTTAAGTAGTATTACAACATTATTATTATTATTATTATTATTATTATTGTTATTATTATCATCATCATCATCTGCTACTGGAAGAGACAAACCAGTAGTATCTATACTTAATTACTTCTATTTCCAGAAAATAACAAAGATAAAGAACCAAACAAAAAAAAGTCACTTCCTACCTTTTGTATCTCAGGATGAAAAATTTCTCTTGGGCTCTTCTCAAATTTATCAAGACTCATAGCACTGAAATGCAAACGAACTAGTGCTTTATAGGAGGGCAAGTGCACATTTCAACCCCGAACCACCAACCGATGGCAGTTACAGCGCTTACAAAATGAATTGTTCCCAGAGCCTCTGGGAAATGGAATGGTTTCTGGAATTGCCATTTCTTTCCCAAAATACTAACTTCCAACGCTTCCTAAACTTAGTTTGCATTTTAAAAACAGAAATTAGTGAGACTCAGGGTGGAGATCAGGTTGAAATTGATTTCCTTCTAAAGCACAGGGCTCTGTTCCATCACCCTTCACTTCGGCTCTACACAGAATCACGGTGAGCATTTTAGGAGGGCTCAAGAACCAATTCTATTTCTCCCTTTTTCTAGTTCTCTCTCTTCTTAAATAATTCAAGGCAAGTCAAATGAAAAATGAGAAGTTCAGCATCAAATTCACACTTTTTCCCTTTGTCTGGTCAAGAACAGGCTTTAAAACCACCTATTGCTGCCTCTTCAACGATTAAGACTTGCAAAACCATTTTTACACGTTTTATAGATTAATCCTAAAAACCACAGGACCGCAAGCTCTGAATTACAGGAAAAGGTATACAGGCAAATATCTAAACTGATCGCTTATTTGTAAATACATACCTTAATATAGATTTCACTGATAATGTTTTTGTGGGACTGTAAGGGAGACATATTTTCTGAGTACCCTGTAAACGAGAAAAGCTAGGCTATATTACAGGACATACCCACTTTTTCTGCATATTCAAATAGGATTATTAATAAAAACAATTAAGTTAAGAAAGAAGGAAGAAAACCAAGGTAATTTTACTCAGCTATATTTACTGCTGATTTAGAGAAAAAAAAATGTCATGGGTGCTGCAAAGAAAAAAAAAAGTGAACCATAAATGTCTACAGTAGAATTTTAAAACAATTGCTTGGATACAAGAATCTCACGGAACATTAAGTAGAAAAAAAGTGAAACCAGTATCAGACCTGCCTATTTTCTTACCATTGTACAAGAAAATCGTAAAAGCAGTATAAAGTCAGCGCCTAAAACTGATCATAGGATGTAACCAAGAACAATTTAGGCATCATTTCTTAAAAAAACCAGTTGTTGGAAGAATTAGAAAATATCTGACACTACAGATTTCTGTCAAAAAGTTTAGTATAATGTTTAGCGTTATCTACTATGGTAGAATGATATGTTCTTGTTATACAAAATAAAAATATGTAATAAATACTGGAATTCTGAAGAAAGAGGAAAAAGCATATGATAAACATATCCAAAACAAACAAAAGGCAGAACCGCAGTAAAGTATTTGTTTCTTACTGTTTTTCTCCAAAGTATTGAATGGTATTGAGGAATGCGCTGATTATTTTGCTCAGACAGTACAACAGACAGAAAGAAAGGGTTCTTCTCTGCATCTGTACCTACATAATTCTGATGAACTGTTGGAAGAAAAACAAGCAGCACCATCAGTCATAAGGAAGACATACCCACCCACTCGTGCAGAATCAGAGAGACACCAGATTGTCTGCAGAAATAACCACGTACTTATATCAGCTGTGTGAAAAAAAACACCCAAAGAGACCGGTACAGTTTTCAAAGCCATGAAGGATTTCAAAACATCCCTTTTTGGTAGTGGGGGTTTCACTCCTTACAGACACCCATGCTCTGTTTTCAGGTTAAAAACACATGAAACAAGGACTTGTTTCATGTACAGGAGAGAAAATGTTTTAATACTAAATTAACACCATACCTTTTTTCATATTGAAATAGTAACAGTTCAAAACTACAGAAACAGCAACAGCATTTTTGCAAATTACATTTTCATTGGTCCAAATTCCAATCCATCTGCAAAAAGATATTTACCTTTCCCTAAAAAATACTTCAAGTACCATCTTGTATGATACTCTGGGTTTTCCAAATGCACATCCGTTCTGTGCCACGTACTCGGAGCATAGTCCGTATTCTGAAATCGAATTGAGAGACTGTTACATTAAATACCAAGTAAAAAAAAAGAGGACAAAATATAGGCAAAAGCAAATAAAGAGTGAAATTTTAGCTGTACACTGCTACTTAAAAAGCAAGGATTTTTGCGAAGTCAGTCGGTGTGTAGCTGAAATAGAAATTTCTACCTCTCATATACCCTTTTTATTAATTTCTCTGTAAGTAGGTAAGTCTTGTCCTACTGTACCACTCTTAGGGGTAATGGCAGAATGTGAAAAGGAGGTCTTTCAATGTGGACTTTGAAGACAAACATTTTTAAAACTTAAATAAATTAATGCCTTCAGCTTTCATTTTCTCAGTTCTTCCCAAATTAATCCCCAAAGAAGTCTCCTTGCTTGACCAAAGCATGCTTCAGAAGTTCTTCAGTGCTGTTTCTCATAAATTAAGGTAAATTCCCAAGCGTCCCTCAAGCACTTTCCCATTATGACTTAACATGCGAAGAAAAAGCCATTCTCCACGTTCATTGACCATGTGGCCGTCCACTACCCACTCTACGAATCTTTCCATGATATGAGCCAATCAGCTTTTGAACTTCACGAAACTGAGCTAAATAGACAGAGGACCAAACACAACCCTCCAAAGAATCAATGCAGAATAGTTAGACTGCTTTCAACTCTGCAGCCAGTGCTGACAGAAGCAGATGATCAGTAACATTTCACTGTTACTATTAGTTCAATACACACTTTACCAAAGCCTTACAAGTATCTCTAGAATTTGAGGTCTTATTTCTTCCAATATTAAGATGGTATTTGATGAAAGTTTTGCAAAGGAAGATAAAACATGAAGGTAAGTGGAAACCTAATTGTCACGGGAGTAGTTGCAGGGACACACTGTGAGTTTAGCAGCAAGAAAGATGAAGTGAATTACTCTCCAAGGCTCCACTCAACCTCTTTCTCTCTTATTTAAAGATAAGCACAGCTGCCAAAAGACAGCTAAGGGTCAAAAAAATGAAGCTAAACCTCATCAAGCCAAGGAGCAAACTTTAAAGCACAGAGGTCAGCTTGAACATCATAGTACCAACAGGACAGGATAGATATAGAGATGTAGTAGAGACTGGGAAGCGTCAATCAGAGATATTTTTCTCTAACACGATCGAGTGAGCAAAAACGTTACCACAACGAAACGCGAGAATTTTTCAAAGTCCTCTTCCTTAGAAAATGACTGCAAATGCATCTTTTGTAAGTGAAAAATAACTGAAGCTGAATCATTTTCTTCAGCGTTCTGTGAGTATTTTTGGGCACTTACCTCACCAGAGGAGCCATTTTCCACACGGAACCGTCCAGCTCTTTGAATGGCTCCGTCAGCATCACTAGATATAAGCTATAAGAGAGTTTAACATAGAGGTTCTATTTCAAAAAATAGCCATACGATCAGCAATCAAAACTTACTACCATTTCTTGTTGTTCAGGCATCAGGACTCCCCAGAGAGAAGGGATCAGTCTAGCTATTACCAATTTGACTAAAGACTTTGAATGACCCGGTAAGAACTCTGAGACAAATCAGGTGCTTCATGAAGCAAGAAAAGTTAAGTTTGAAACATTTAGAATTTTGAAAGGGCAACAAGAACCTTCAAACATCTGTACTCCAAAAATGATACACTTTCATGAAATGCTAGCAAAATTTTTAAGAAAAACATCCAAGAAACGAAACCATTCATGTGAACTTACTGTGAATTAATAATTATAAATAATTTTTATCTTCCAGCAAAAGACTTTAAGTACTAGGAATGAAAGAGCCTCTTATCAGAAAACCAATTACTTGCATTTTTGGATTAAAACACGCATCTTTTATGTATAACATATGGAAAGAAGAGAAAGGAACCCGGTGTTCCCGCAATACAACTTCCAGCAACTAGGCCACCATTTTACACCCAATTTACACACACATTAGTTAATATACTAACTTGAAAATTACAACTATAGCTTGTAGAAAACTTGTGACTTCATCCCATAGTAACAGAGCTGGAGATAAGTTTCTTAACTCCTCCCCACTTCTGTTATCCTACAGTAAATTTATGTAATTTCATTATGACCTTGTAATCAGAATGACACTGCTGACATATTTTCACAATGCAGAAGAAATTGATATATGAGAAAAACGTAGTGCCAACCTAATCTCCGAATTTCAAGTAAATGCAGAATAGCTGACGGATTCTAGGGAACCATTTTCAAAATCCTAACTCTGACTAGGTCATTCAGTTTTCAGCCCTCTCCCACTACTATGAGTCACGTACATATAAAATTACATACACGTGTATGTACACACACAAGCATGTACACAGTTTATAGCTTACATAATTGTTAGTACTTCATTAAATACTACCCTAATGTTTTGCCATCTTCAGTTTCTAAGAGGAAAAAAGGCTCAATTTCCATCTGGAAGTAAACACAGTATTTATATAAAGCTTCCTTTTCTGTTACAATGAAAAATTAATTAATAAGGTAGTAAAAAGATGCCCCATCACGGGTCTGATATATATCTATTCAGAAGCCACTTTATATCAGCTCATAACTTTCAAGTCTAGCTGAGAATGCACATTTTCCAAACTAGATCCAATTCTTTTACTTGGAAAAGAAAAGGATTAGAGCTCTGCGTTATAAGCTGATAAACTGAAAGACAGGCTACGTATACTTACAAGCTCCACAGATCCATAATGCTTTCTGCTAAACTCTCCGCGTCTGCAACCCAGATCTTCAGATACGGAGCTGGAATAGAAACGCTTCATCTGTGTACACAAGTCAACTAGTCTTACATTTCCTGCAATGCTATACCCTGCCATTAAAAAAAATATAATTTCTGCTGAACAGGGTTCACAGAACATAAACTCATTGCTGCAGGGAACACTTCTTACAGCATGCACAATCCCTAGCAGCCATCGCAGTCTGGCTTTCACATTACACCCAAAGCAAATGTCCACGTCCTGACTGGAAGCAAAAGCCAGGATTAAATTAAATACTAAGGCATGATGCAATCAGAGTTCCAAAGCAGGTGGTGGCTCATAACCACGTTTGAAAAGTAAACTTAAAGCCTCAAAGAGGTCAACTGCACTGTACAACTCAGTAAGACCACATTTAGTAGGTTGCTACTGATTTTTTCAGTCTTTTTTCAGCCCACACACAATGAGAAAAGAAACCAGTACTTAAGAGCCTGAGGGAACAACAGCATTTCAGAGGTTTCCCTCCACCACCTTGAAAAGATAGCAAACAAAAGTAATCCTGGAACGCGAAGCGCAAAATCCGCCCGCAGTACCAACCTCGTACCATGATAGCGCATTACTCGCCACCTCTTCACAAACTACGTTCCACTAATTTGAAGACAGACTGCCTTGCCACAAACCACACCCTCTCATATCAAAAGCATTTTTCTGACGGCACTCTCAATAATTCATAAAACACGAGTATATCTGCACTAATGATTAAAACAAGACTGCTTAAATATCAATATTGTCATTTGTGTCCCAATTCAAACCACCTAAAACATACCTAAACTTCAAACACACTAGCAGTCCTTTTAAAAACCAGAAATATACCCAAGAGCAAATCTCTGCCTCTTCTCAACTTAACTACTTTATATCACACCTCACCTGCTTCATATTGTATTTGTTGTTGTAATTAAAGGAGACTCTCACATCAACATAAATGCTACAGACACAACCTCATTAAAATTAGGCTTCAATTTAGGCACAGGTAAGATTCACGTTATCATGCAATTTGCCTAAGCGCACATGCTCCCTAAGGAATCCTCGCGCCTGCATCCCTCTTTGGCTCTCCATTCTCGGATACCACCAAGATTCGTACTCGACTCTCTAACGTATCACATCTGCTAATTTAAAAAATACACTGTGATTAAAATCAACTGTTCATATTAATTTTCTTCCTTGAATTACATCCTTCCATAGTCCTGATCTCTATAAGAAAAACGGCTGCTCCAGTTATGACACTTTCAGAGTAGTTTTCATCTTATTAAGATGAACTGCCAGCACTGAGGAGGTTAGTTCATCAGTGCTTCGCTTTACTTGGGCTTAATAATTTAAAATTTACTTACATTGCAAAATATTTAAACACAGATACACCTTTATTCATGTGAATATAACTAACCAGCTTACATCTACACAGTATATTCCACCTCCCTTTCCCATTTTTCTGGAAACATAGGTGCAGTTGTCTAAATGAACAGCAACAATGAAGAGGAGAGAGGACTAGCTTCTTCCCGTTTCAACAGAAGCTCCTACAAAACAGTCCTGAAAGTTGAACAACGAAGCAAAATTAAACGCATTTGCTAATCTAAACATAAACGTTTTCTGGATCCTAGTGCCAAATCACAAGTTTTGTCTTTCAGAAGCTCGACACTGGAAAGCGTTTTACTTGGGGGTCGGGAGGGTAGGGGCAGAAAGGGGTGAGTTTGCAGACTGCACCTGTGCGATCAGCACAGAAGGATACAGCCTGCATGCTTCTTGGGCTCGCCATTCTCCTTGCCATCTATGTGTTTACTAGTCATTACCGGTCCATCTGTTTTCATTTAAGAAAGTCACAAGCACTAACGCAGTCAGCAGCCGTGTCATTCCAGCGATATCGCAGCGCTATGTGCTCGCAACGCTGAGCACGCTGCGAAGCCGACTCCGCAGCCGCTCGCCCGCCTCCGCCTGCAGCGGCGGCAGCAGCCCGAGGGAGACGGCTGCAGCTCGGGGGCTCCTGCGCCTCCGCCAGCCCGAGGGCAGCCGCCCCACAGTGACCGCGGGAGCCCGCGCGGCCCCTGAGCTCCCCGCCCGCGGCAGCAAAGCACCGCCTCGCCCTCCGCCATCGGCTGTCGGCAGCACGCCCCGCCCCGCCCCGCCCGAGCTGAGCCCCCGCCACCGGTACCGCTGAGTGAGGCCGAGGAACCGGGTGGACGCCCCTTCCGCGCTGCTCAGATCCATGCGGGCGGCGAGACGGAGGCTTCGCTCCTCCAGCGTCGCTGCCACGGCTCCGTCCCGCGCGGGAGAGGCGCCGGGAGCTGCCCGCGCACATCCCGCTCTCCCGGCGCACGGCCCCGCGCGTCCACCTCGGCCCGCCAACCACTCATATGCCGCGTCCGCCGTTGCGTCAGACGCTGCGCCGTCAGCAGGGCCTGCCGGGAGTTGTAGTCTCGGGCTGACAGCCACCGCTCCGTCCTCCGCCACCGGGAGCTGCCGTCCCGCCAGGGGATCAAACGGCTCCTTCGCTCCTGGGCGGGAAAGGACCTTAGGCAGCACCGCCCCTCCCGAATGCCCTTTCTTTTTCATTCCAACTCTTTTTTCTGTTTTTCACTCTGTTTGTCAACCCCTTTTTCACTCTCATTCTTTTCCTTTTTCACTTTCTCTCTTTAACTCTCTTTTTTCTCTAACCTTTTCTTTCTTTCTTTCTTTCTTTTGCTACTTGTATTTCTAACTTTGTTTTCCTTTCTAGCCTTAGACTAAAAAAGCAGCAGTAGAAACTTTCATGCTACCTGGGACTAAAAAAAACCCCCAAACTATAATGATTTAAAGAAAACTATTTACTCCCTGGGAGCCTAAAATTATCTACTGCTGCACCAGACATACAGCTTTTATTCCTTTTAATATATACTTTATAGGGCCCCAATTACTGCTCCAGCTGTCAGTAATGAATAGCAATATCCATTAACCACATCATCAGTACTCCCATCTACATTACCAGACAAATAATGACACAACTAAGAGGTAATTGCATCATGATTATGTAATTACATAAACCAGCAATCCATCACCACAGCTACCAGTTACCATCAAGCCCACCCCTCACAAAAACCTCACCCCCGCTGCGTTGTTGTTTTGGGTTTCCTGTAACAATAAATCAACACGTAATGAAAATAGAAAAAGGTTATCATCTTGTGTTAGTATGTGTTTTGTGTTGCATTGCTCTCTATTGCTCTCTATTGCAGGGTGAGCACAGGGTGAACTCTCTCCTTCCTGTGACACCTCGGCTGGGAGGGATGACACAGCGACCTCGGCCAGCCGATGCTGCCTGTGCCATCACCTGGCACTGACGTGTTTGATGAAAATCCTTTTGCTGGGATTTTTCTCCTGAGAAGCCTCAGAACAGAAATGGAACCAATAACGATCTGCTGGCTGTGAAGTGTGGGCTGGAGATGGTTTAGCAACAGGGGCATCTTGGATTGGTCTCCTGTGCATTGTTTCTACTTGATGACCAGTCATGGTCCAGCTGTGTCGGGGCTGTGAGCAGTCCCAGGTTTTTATTATTCATTCCTTTCCAGCTTTCTGATGTCTCCTTGCTCCTTCAGTATAGTTCTAATATCTCATTTTCTTTTAATATAGTAGAGATCATAAAATAATATTTCAGTCTTCTGAAAGGTGGAGTCAAGATTCTTGTCTCTTCCCTCGTCCTGGGGACCCTCAAACACCACCACAATCACCGGCCGAGCGAGTTTGTGCGAGCCTCTCAGTAACCCTCGGCCGGTCCCGAGTCGGCAGAAACCAGGGGGCGGCCCTGACACGGCCGACAGCGGGGAGACGCTCTCTGTGCCCTGAGGGTGCTGAGGGCACCTGGGCTGTGGGGAGACACTCTCTGTGTGTGCCCCGAGGGTACTGAGGGCACCTGGGCTGGCAGGGAGACACTCTCTGTGTGTGCCCCGAGGGTACTGAGGGCACCTGGGCTGGGGGCAGACACTCTCTGTGCCCCGAGGGTACTGAGGGCACCTGGGCTGGCAGGGAGACACTCTCTGTGTGTGCCCCGAGGGTACTGAGGGCACCTGGGCTGGCAGGGAGACACTCTCTGTGTGTGCCCCGAGGGTACTGAGGGCACCTGGGCTGGGGGCAGACACTCTCTGTGCCCTGAGGGTACTGAGGGCACCTGGGCTGGTCGCCTTTGCAGCACAAGAGACACCAGAGACAGCGGTAGAGGATAAAGGGCCGACTCTTAGCAGGGGTTAATCCAAGGTTTTATTAGGAGTCCCAACAGAGCTCCTGCACCTCAGGGCGCCTCGTGCGGAGAGCCCAGGGGAGATGTGCCAAGGTTACATTTAAAGGGAGGTGGAAACCGACAGTAGATGACATCATACCAACCATTAAGTGACCCTAAGGGATGGATGCTGGAGGATAGACATATAGGAGAGTGTATGGGGCAAGGCTTGGGCGGCTGACTCCTAGCCTCTGGCTGATCACTCGATGACTTGGACCGAAAGTTCTGGATGGAGGGGATGGGAGGCTGAGTGATTGACAGAGAGCCAGGGTGGGGGTTTGGGGATGATCTCATCCTGGGAGAGGGATAACAGATGTAAAGGGAGGGGGGTACAGTTTGGGATAAACCATTTGGGAAAAATATAGGGATACAAAACAAAATTACTTCAAAGTATTACAAAGTATAAAAAGGCACTACAGCAGGTTTGGGCAGCACCAAATAAAATAAAATGCTTAAAAAATAGAAAATTAAAAAAAAATTTTAAAAAATTAAATAAAAAATAAAATAAAAAGCTTGAAATATAGAAAATTAGAAATAAAAATTAACTAAAAAATAAAATTAAAAAAAAGCTATTAAAATAGAAAAAATTAAAAAAATTAGGTAAAAAATAAAATTAAAAAAAAGCTTTGAAAATAGAAAAATTTAAACAATAAAAAGCTTTAAAGATAGAGAAATTAAAAATAAAAATTAAATAATAAATTTTAAAATAAACTAAAACGCTTTAAAAATAGAAAAATTAAATATTAAAATTAAATTAAAAAAATTAAAAAGAAAAAGCTTTAAAAATAGAAAAATTAAAAATAAAAATTAGGTAAAGATACAATTAAAAAAATAAACTAAAAAGCTTTAAAAATAGAAAAATTAAAAATAAAAATAAGGTAAAAATACAATTAAAAAAATAAACTAAAAAGCTTTAAAAATAGAAAAATTAAAAAAATAAAATAAAAAGCTTTAAAAATAGAAAAACTAAAAACAAAAATTAAATATAAAAATAAAACTAAAAAAATAAAATAAAAAGCTTTAAAAATAAAAATTAAATAAAAAATTAAATTAAAAAAATAAAAAGCTTTAAAAATAGAAAAATTAAAAATAAAAATGAAATAAAAAATAAAATTAAAAAAAGCTTTAAAAATAGAAAAATTAAAAATAAAAATTAGGTAAAAAATACAATTAAAAAATAAACTAAAAAGCTTTAAAAATAGAAAAATTAAAAATAAAAATAAAAATAAAAAATAAAATTAAGAAATAAAATAAAAAGCTTTAAAAATAGAAAAATTAAAAAAATAAAATAAAAAGCTTTAAAAATAGAAAAACTAAAAACAAAAATTAAATAAAAAAATAAAACTAAAAAAATAAAATAAAAAGCTTTAAAAATGGAAAGCTTTAAAAATAAAAATTAAATAAAAAATTAAATTAAAAAAATAAAAAGCTTTAAAAATAGAAAAATTAAAAATAAAAATAAAATAAAAAATAAAATTAAAAAAAAGCTTTAAAAATAGAAAAATTAAAAATAAAAATTAAATATAAAAATAAAAATAAAAAAATAAAATAAAAAGCTTGAAATATAGAAAATTAGAAATAAAAATGAAATAAAAATAAAATTAAAAATTAAAATAAAAAGCCTTAAAAATAGAAAAAAAAAAAAAACATTAAAAAAAGCTTTAAAAAAGAAAATTCAAACTAAAAATTAAGTGAAAAATAAAAAAATAAAATAAAAAATAAATAAAATTAAAAGCTTTAAAAATAGAAAATAAATAAATATAAAATAAAAAATAAAATTAAAAAATAAAACAAAAAGCTTTAAAAATAGAAAAAATAAAAATAAAAATTAAATAAAAAATAAAAAATAATAAGCTTTAAAAATAGAAAATTAAAACTAAAATTCAAATAAAAAATATAATTAAAAAATAAAATTAATTGAAAATAAATTAAAAAAAAAATAAAAACCAGAAAGTGCTGTAAAGTGCTGTAAAAATTCAATAAAAGGCGGTGCCGTAAAGCGCGACTGTAGTAAAACTGTCGTAAAAGGTGCCGTAAAGCGCGACTGTCGCAAAAGGTGCCGTAAAGCGCGACTGTCGCAAAACTGCCGTAAAGCGCGACTGTCGTAAAAGGTGCCGTAAAGCGCGACTGTCGCAAAAGGTGCCGTAAAGCGCGACTGTCGCAAAACTGCCGTAAAGCGCGACTGTCGTAAAAGGTGCCGTAAAGCGCGACTGTCGCAAAAGGTGCCGTAAAGCGCGACTGTCGTAAAAGGTGCCGTAAAGCGCGACTGTCGTAAAAGGTGCCGTAAAGCGCGACTGTCGCAAAAGGTGTCGTAAAGCGCGACTGTCGTAAAAGGTGCCGTAAAGCGCGACTGTCGTAAAAGGTGCCGTAAAGCGCGACTGTCGCAAAACTGCCGTAAAGCGCGACTGTCGTAAAAGGTGCCGTAAAGCGCGACTGTCGCAAAAGGTGCCGTAAAGCGCGACTGTCGTAAAAGGTGCCGTAAAGTGCGACTGTCGCAAAACTGTCGTAAAGCGCGACTGTCGTAAAAGGTGCCGTAAAGCGCGACTGTCGTAAAAGGTGCCGTAAAGCGCGACTGTCGCAAAACTGCCGTAAAGCGCGACTGTCGTAAAAGGTGCCGTAAAGCGCGACTGTCGCAAAACTGCCGTAAAGCGCGACTGTCGCAAAAGGTGCCGTAAAGCGCGACTGTCGCAAAAGGTGCCGTAAAGCGCGACTGTCGCAAAAGGTGCCGTAAAGCGCGACTGTCGTAAAAGGTGCCGTAAAGCGCGACTGTCGCAAAACTGCCGCAAAGCTTGACTGTCGCAAAAGGTGCCGTAAAGCGCGACTGACGTAAAATGTGTATTTTTGCGACAGTCGCGCTTTACGACACTACCTTTTATTGAACTTTTATGGTACTTTACAGCACTTTACGGATTTTATTTTGTTTTTTATTAATTTTTAATTAATTTTATTTTTTTAATTTAATTTTTATTTAATTTTTATTTTTAATTTTTTTATTTTTAAAGCTTTTTATTTAATTTTTTCTTTTATTTTATTTTTAATT